TTTAGCACTTGTTCGAACTACGAACTTCCATGCTCTTCCTGTGGATATGGTAGTACACGACGCGGTCCTTGATCGAGAAACCATACACCTCGTACGTCCATCGCTGCGGGGGGAAATGCGCCTCGATCATCTCGTTGCTCGCTGAACTGAGCACGAACGGCTCGATCGTAGTCGTGGTTGTCATCCCAGACGACGGCCCAAACGTCGGCAAAAGATTCACCACAACGTGGTCATTGTCATCGTTGCATACCCCCTTGGCAGTGGAAGTGGGCGCGGCGGTAGCCGCAGGAGCTACATCGCCGGTCTCGACTACGACTGCGTTGGTATTGCCAGCAGTTCCAAGGTGCTCGTCCACGGAATCCTTGTCAGGGGCATCCGTCTCCAGTGTTTCTGCTTTAGCCTTCTTGTCAAGAGTTTGGTTTTCCAATTGAACGGCTTCGATTAGTTCATCTGCAACCTGGGCGACAACCTCTTCGATGGCCATCGTTTCTTGTTCAACAACGTCTTGGCTGGCATTCTCTGACGGTTGGGCAGCTTCTTCTTGCTTCGCTGAAAAAGCTTCGTCACATATCTCTGCCACAATCTTGTCGTGGTCCACAGCGGCTGCACAGGGTTGTTCACTCCCCGTTATGGTCTCTGTTTCGATAAGCTCTTCCGCACCGGATTCTTTCGTGCCATCATCGTCGGCCTCGTTTAACGTCGCTTCCTCGGCTGCCTCCGGTTCATCGTCAACTGCAGGTGCAGCCTCTTGTTCAGCCGTGGTCTCTTTAAGAAATTCAACTTCGAGTTGTCTAGGCGTCTCAATTTCGGTTTCCTCCATTGGTTCTGGTGTCGTGTCTGCACTCTCATCCGACGTCCCGTGTCCATTGCTGGTCTCCACCACGTCGCTTTCTGATTCATCAACGTCAGCCTCCTGTTGTGATTCTTCGCTTGCAATAGATGCCAAGGCTTCAGTGGCTTTACCGTCGGTCTCGGTGGTCTTCTGCGCTTCAGCTTCATCAATCTCTTGAGTCGTAACTTCTCCAACAGAGCTTTCTGGATCACCTGCGACTGTTTCTTCGGGCACGTCGGTGTTCACCTCTGCCGGGATATCTGCAGTTGCCACAGTAACGTCCACGACCTGCTCGATCTCTTCCTTGTCAGCTTTTTCTTCAGTTGCGGCTCCCTCACATTCTTCAACCGCAGCAACATAAACGACTGCGCCGTCGGCTGACTCGGTTGAGTTCGAATCAATTGTGACAATATCGTCTTGAGCAACAGCTTCGTCCAGAACCTCGGTTGGATTCTTGTCTTGAGCGCCCGACTCCTCTTCTTCAGGTGATACACTGTCTTCAGGATAAAACTCTGCGGCTTCTTCGATCACTGCTACGATCCTCTCCACGACCGCAATAACATCACCATCGATCTTGGCATCCAATGCATCGACATCTTCTTTCAGATTCTCCGCTTCATCTTCTTGAATCGTTGATTGCATTCTTTTAAAACCTTCCGATCTCGTTAACGCTGCCAATATTTGTTCATCCGTAGCCTCCACTGCGTCTTCATACACACCCGACAAAGGCGGAGCAGCACCTTCAAATGTCAATAGCACCCCTGAAGTCGACGATGGGGGTTCCATCGCATCAACGAATTCATCCTCGGACTCTGCAGCGTCAGTTGGCCACTGCAACTGCGAGTTGCTGCCTTCTGACGACTCCGTGCGTGCATCTTCCTCGGATCTTCCGCTCATTTCGTTCTTGTCTCTCAACGACGTAGCAGGAACCTCCTCGATGATCATTGTAGCCACCGTGAGTTGCCAAACTAAGCTGTCTGTCAATTGTGTTCTGTTTGACTCGCTCTCTAGCCTCTCAGCCATCGGGTCAATGAGATCTCTGCCGTGCTACACGCATAGGGGCATATTGCACGCACCAGCTGGAGTACGTTAGGGCTCGTCGAACAGGAAGCCCAATTGTGAGCATGGATCTCCAAGCAGCTTTTGAGAGTATCAACAGCGTACGAGTCACTAGTTTTCACATTAAAAGTGGCGGTCGGTTCATCGTGTTCATACAACTGCATTGCGTTGCTGCAGTAGGGCCAAAGATGCCTTCGCTACTGAAAACTAACGGGGTGTCTTAACTTCATGGAAGTGACGATAGATACAGCACATCGTGCTGTGACTCTGGCTTGTGGGCGAAAAGAATGCAGCAGTGAGGACTCACTGGGCTATGAAACTCTGGAACACAGCGCTGTCGTGCAGTTCTCGGTGCTCGGCGATGTAGCGCAGCACGTTAGTGAACTGTTTCTGACGCTCCTCGATGGTCTTCTTGCTCTGTCGACCGCGCACAAAGTGCACCACGCCGGCTCGAGACAGTCGTGGTAGTTTGTCAGCAGCCGGCAGCTTGGACTCCTTCAACTTAGCGTACATCTCACTGAATCGAGAGTAGCGGCGACGTATTGGTGCTGGCCACTTTGCGCTGTCTGTGACCTCGTCCTTAAGCTGCACGTGGTACAGCACCACGCCCTGGTCGGTGGACGTACCCACAACGGCGTAGATCGGGGGTATTGCGGTGGGTATCAGGGCGTTGTCCGATGGCTGCGTCTTCACGCTGAGGTAGAAGATGCCTGTGCTCGATGGTTCGACCTGCAAGCTGCTGCGTGCAACGAGCGCTCCACGATCTCGTGGCTGCTGTTCGCTGTCCGTCACGCCCGACACAGCGTCGTCTACAATCTCCTGTACAATCGCCGCAGCGACTTCTTGGATTGATTCACGCTCAATAGAGTCGTGGATTGAGGTATCTGTAACCTGTTGACGGACAACAGCCCCCGTCTCCGTGACCATGTACTCTCCACCTTCACTCAACTCCGACGTGCGTCTTGTGTCTCCTGTATTGTTGCTGCTGTCTTCACTGCGGCCGGACGCGACCAACTCGTTCACCAGCAGCTCACTCGATTCAGTCACCGCCGACATACTCACCACGCTGCTCTCGTCAACCTGCGTTGGTGCTGCAGGCGGTGACGATTCACCTTCGGGTTCCGTGACGCCGCTCTCGCTTGGCGTAACGTCGTGTGCTGGTTCCGCTGTGGTGCTGGTGGACGCTTCGACGGCGTCTCTCGGTCCTGAATGTTCCTCTGGAATCGGTTGGAGTTCGATCGGGTCGCCGGTCATTGCGAACGTCAGCGACTCGGGTGGACCGGGCGACGTCTGCTCTTCCGACACCGAAGAGCTGCTAAGACTGAGACTGGAATTGCTACCAACTTCAGACGTGTGAATGAAGGAGAAGGTGAAGGCGCTGACCATGCCGTGCACTGGCTCGCCATCCGAGCTGCCGACCAAGTCGACACTGTCTGAGATCACAAAGGACGGTAATTCCTCGCGGAACTCGTTGGCTTGGGACCCGCTGGTGGACAACCAGAACTTTGACTCCTGTGCGTGGAATGACGGTGTGGTGGGTCGAAGAGGGACTGCGACGCTACTGGCGCGATGCACGAGCGCTGCGTCCTTGGAGTGTTTGCATCCCATAGTTAAGAAGAAGAGCTGCAATACGAGACTTCCAAGGGCAGCTATGTGCTAGAATGACGGTCAGGGTCGAGATGGACAGGCGGAGGAGACGTTCGTACACTGCGAGACTGTGGCGTTCGGACAGGCGCTCGACAGCAACAGCCAGCGCAGTTATGAGACACTAACACAGCAAAAGAGAATATGTTTTCTTCCTGGACAGCAGGAGACGACACGGGTAAGTCTCCAGCGTGGGTAGTATCTCCATACCGTGTCTGGATATGTAGCCATGTTCTCTGCCAAAGCAGTTGAAGAGCACTTTCAGTTGACGAGAACTCGCTGTTGACTCACCGATTGTCGCATGGATACAGAAATGGTGCTAAACTGTTTATGCCTGTATGTGGCTTCAACAATCACTTGAAGCACACCGCTTGTCAAGTTTTTCATTTGTCTTTTCATATTTTGTTGACACACGGCTGCAAAGTGTACAAACTACTATTAATCTAAGCCAGTAAGAACCTCGTAAAGGGTTTGCTTTTGTACGCCACGGGGTGCCTCGAAATGGCGTTCAGGATTCTGGTAAACTGGTCCTCACGCTCTTCCAGCACCGTCTCATTGTAGCGGCCACGAAAATATGTCCAGGCGTTCGACTTGGGCATCTCCGGCAGTGCCGGGTGCGTCTCGAACAAGTGTTGCTGTGCTGCTGGTACATTCCTCTCGCTCGCCATCAGCTCCGCCATCTCTGCGTGCAGCGACTTAAAATCAGAATAGCACTTGGCGAGGAGAACCCGTTTGGTCGGTTCCTTTGCGCTTGTGCCACAGAAGTGGTAGAACATGACACCGTCCTCGTTGGCGACGACCTTGACAACGTAGAAGATGATCACGCCAACTGGTAGCTTCTTCGTCTTTATTACTGCTTTCGGGGCTGTCTCCTCTTCTAGCTCCAATTCACTGGGCGTCGATCCATCGCTACTCCGGTCGTTGGCGTGAATGGGGCCAACGTCCGGTCCTCCTGGCCGCTTGGCAATCGACAGCTCGATGGAGAACTCGGGCCTATTAAACGTCTGCATTTGGTCATTCGGCGTGGAATAGGAGCAGCCCATGGTTATAGAAGATGGATCTCGGAGAGGCTTGGCGTCTCGGTGTCAAGCTTGGCGGAAGATTGGCAATGGGGCCACCGAGACGATATCTGGCACCGTGACACTTTTCATCACCGCCAAGTGGCAGAGTATACTTGCAACCCGGTATCTGAACATCTCTCCCTTTCGTAATGGTGATCCTGCGGGCAGGGGCTATGAATCCACATAGCACCAGACGGCTACCGAAAATGAGACCAAACACTTCGGTCTCAATTTTTAGCACTTGTTCGAACTACGAACTTCCATGCTCTGAATCTCAGCTCAAACATCAGATAAGCCAGATGAACTTTGATGCGCATCAGTAACGGTAAAGGAAACTACAAGTTTTTCATTTATTTATTGACGAGAACCGTCCAGGGCATGAGATCTCTATCTATCTACGCCATGAATTCTGTGAAAGTTTTGCTCTGGAAGGCAATCGGGTGAGCTGCAATTGCGTTCAGGATCTTGACGAACTGCGCTTCACGTTCATTCACCACCTTCTGATTGCCACGTCCGAGCAGATAGGTAACAACATTAGCCCGGGGCATGGACGGAAGTGCCGGGTACGTCTGGAACTTGTCCTGGTCCTCGGGTTTCACGTTCTTCTCGCTGGCCATGAGCTTGGAGATCTCCTCGTGCATGTCCTTGAACTCCGAGTAACGTTTGCACAAGTGAATCTCCTGACTGGGATCTGCGGGGTTGGAGCCGTCGAAGTTGTAGAAGGCCACGCCGTACTCGTTGATACTGACCTCACCCGGTACGAATCGAGTGGCGAAGTCAGGATTCTTCACCTCCACGGTCGACGCTTCCTTGATCGAAGTGGGCTCCGTCTCAACCACTTCAACCGGTGCAGCTTTATCGAACGGGACGTTCTCCTCGGCCTGAGAGATGTTAGGATCGATCACCTCCTGCTCGTTCGTCTTGGATTGAGAGCACCCCATGGTTTTGAAGGGTGAAACGTGAGGTATACGGACGCGAGGAGCTTGTGTTAAACCGTGGGAAATGGAGAATGAGTGCTGCTGTCCCTGGTGTTCGTGACACTTCTCTCGAGATCGCCGTCTGGTTCAGACACAGAGCACTCACCATTTTCTCAGCGTGTGCCACCTACACATGGTGGCGAGCAGCATGTAGGGCGTGTCGGCTGTCTGAACTGCCACCAGTTGACTTGTATTTCTCACGGACGCAACTCAAAGACTACATGGTTTAAAGCAAGACACCGCCACGTGGTCTTACTAACGTTGAAAAGGTGTAGGCTGATGAGCGCTGATGGCCAGCACCGCAAAAACCATCTGAACGAACGAGCCGGGCGATATACACAAGAGCACGACGTAGCAACACCACAGCGTCGGTACTTCCATTGACTCCTTCCATTGAATGAGCGATAAGACCAGAGCGTCTGAAGCCTCCGGGTTGAAAGGAATACATTTACATAGCGCAGAAAAAAGGTATGGCTTTCCTAGTCTTGAAGATCTACGTCTACGCCAAAAAGTTCTTGAATACGTCGCTCTGAGATGCAACGGGGTGTGCGGCAATAGAGTTGAGCAAAGCGGTGAATTGTGTCTTGCGGTCCTCCAGCATCTTCTTGTTCTTGCGACCCTGAAGTAGCGAGGCCTTGGGCAGCGCCGGAAGGTCCGACGTCTTCTCATCCTGGTTATCCGCCAACTGCTGCGTGAGCTGCGCGTGCAGAGCCTTGAACTCTGAGTATCGCTTGGACACGTGCACGTCGTTGGCCGGATTGCTGGAGTCCGAACCGTCGAAGTTGTAGTAGGCGACACCCTTGTCGTTGAACGTCACGTCCTCGGCCTTGAAGGTCAGTGTGGCTTCAGTACCAGACTTCACCTCACTAACAGGGGCAGCAATCACCTCGGACTTAGGCGCTTCAGCGGGCGTCTCCTCTTCAACTGGAGCTCCCTCTTCCATTGGTGTCTCGACGGCAGGCTCAACCGTGGGAACTTCTACTTCAACGACAGGCTCCGACTTGGGTGCTTCAGGTTCAGCCTCGACCGGGACTTCCTCCGGTTCGGCTTCGGTGACCTTCTCTTCCGTCTTTGGGGCCTCCTCGACTGGGGCTTCTTCAACTGGAGCAGCAACTTCCTCTGCTGGCTCTTCAATTGGTGTAGCAGGCGCCTCCACCTCCTCGGTCTTGGGGGCTTCTTCAACTGCAGGTTCTTCAGGTTCGGCCGTCTTTGGGGCCTCTTCAACTGGAACCGAAGCGGGGGCAGGCGGCAACTCATCCGCTGAAGCGGGCGGGGCCTCGACAACCGGCTCGGGTTCACTAGTCTTGATGCTTTCAGGGATCGGAGCTTCGGCCGCCGGACTGTCTATCGACACACGCTCCACGACCTGGTCGGTCGACGCCTTGGATTGACTGCAGCCCATACTGAATTGGAAAGGAGAAGGAAGGAAGGAAGGACTCTTAGAGATGAGTAGGACCGAGAGAAATCGGGAATGAGCTCCAATGGACGAAAGGCCTCTCCCGACGATTGCCAACAAGTCGGCGCCTGTCCTGTGCCCCAAACGGCAGAGACTAAAGGAGACGTAGAGGAAGCACCGCGTATCTCGAAGCCATCTGCCTGGCCCGATCCTTATCCCAGTCTCCACGCGGAGAATGTCGGAGCAAATGTGCACGTATCAGCACGTTACTCACCGCTGGAGACAATCCGCCGGCAACGAGGCAGTGCCGCTGGAACAGCTCCAATAATTCGTGTTGTTTAGCGTTTCTCGTGATAGTCGCACCCGTGCCACGGCTTGAAGACGCTCAACCGGATGATGCAGGGTCATGGTTGAATGGTTACATGTTTGTACAGACTAATGGTTCATATCTATAGGCGTCGCTCCGTTGCGAACTGTTGCGGGTTCTGTCGACTACTGTTGCTCGCTCTCAGTTTAAATACCTAGACTACCGATGGCAGGTATGCTCCCGGTGCAGCTCTACGCCCCCAGGAACGCAGCGAACGGAGCGGATTGTGAGGCCTCAGGATGCTTTGCGATGGCGTTGAGCATCTCAACGAAGACCGTCTCGCGTTCCTGCAATAGCGCCTTATCGTTGCGACCTTGTAAGAACGAAGTGCCGGGCATACGGGGCAATTCCTCTCTGGTCATGAGCTTGGCCATCTCGGTGTGCAGCAGCTTGAAGTCGGAGTATCGCTTGGTCAGATACACCTCGTCGCCCTCCGTGTTGGAGCCGGCGATGTTGAAGAAGGCCACGCCGATGGTGAATGAGACTTTGTCGGCAGTAAACGTCCAGACGGGGGCATTCACGCTCGTCACAGCCGACTTCTCCACGACCGAGGTAGCGGACTTCTCCACCTGCACCTCGACGGTGTCCTCGGACTCTACCTCGGGATCTACCGGGTCTTCTTTCGTATCGACGGACGGTTCTTCAACTACTTCTGCTTCGGCGACAGCGGGCGGTTCAACCGTGACGGCCTGTTCAGCCGCGACGGGCTCATCAACCGTGACGGCCTGTGCAACCGCGACGGGCTCTTGTACCATGTCGGACTCTTGCACCGCGGCAGGCTCTTCAACATCGACGGGCGGCTGCCCGGTCGGTTCTTCTTCAACGGGAGCGACATGTTGCTCCTCTTCTTCGACCTCCTCCTTGACAGGCGCGGGAGGGATGCTGCTACTCGTCTCTTCATGGTCATCGATAATGATCTCGGTGAAGCCGAGATCCATCGAGGCCTTGCCGCACTCGGACGGGGGTGCGGTGATCGGCTCGACAACGACGTTATTCACCTTAGATTGGTTGCAGCCCATGATTCTTGGGAGGTGGGGTAGTTGCTAGTTGATGGACTTCGGGCGGACCGAGGAAATTCCGGAATGGACTTCACGCTTCCATACCATCCGAGGCGCACGCTACGAAGGTGCAGATTGCGTGCAGCCCCGCTAACAGGATCGGGCGTAACGCTCTCGGCCGTTTCTGCTTCGCCGTGAAGCTCAAGTGAATCGCTATTGGATCGCTAAGCGGCGCTCTTCCTTCACAAAGCGTTTCAATGAGACACGAAGAAACCAACAGCCTAATGTCTTCGCTTGATGCTTAGCGTGGGCGGCTTAGAACCTTCACTTTCGGCCTGTACGTAGTCGTTGCAGGTTACGCCGCTCCAGGCACGCTATCTGGTTTGCTGTAACGAGCGGGGCTTTCATGTCGACAATTTTTCATGCGTTCGGTGCCATTGCATAGGGCGTTGAGTATCGTTCTCTCGTGAAAAAGGCAGGGGGAGGAGCTGCCGTGCTCCTCACGAAACAGAAAATGGTTTGCTGACCAGTCTCTTTGTGCAGAGATTCTTGTGGTATCGATGTGAGCTCGCCGCTGGCGGTTTTGCCATATCGGTGCTTGGTCCGCCGGTGATTCTCGGCCTTTCATCTGCAACCAGTGCATTATGGCGGTGGCTTTGCAAGCGCAAAAGATGCCTGCAGCGATGATCAGCAACGGCATTTATCAGACTTCATTTTTTTCACTTCAAGTTTCAAGAACTGAAATGGCTACAGCGCATCTTATCCTGAGATGGCTACACATCTTTCTGTGCGAGCGTCTTGGTTGCAAGTGTTGTGAATCATTCGAAGCTGGCAGTTTTGAGCCACTCCAGTTTGTATTTTACTTTCCATCAATCAGCATAAAAAGTTGCGGCTAAAGTTGCCAATTGGGGATTTTCCACCAAATGTCCCAACCGAACATCCTTCCAAAAAAAAAACCCACACCAAAATGTGAGCTTTTGAAAAGAACAGTGTACCCCTTCAAGTTTGGGTGAATTGACAGAATTTTTATTGGTCGTAAGTTGTATTTTGGACTATGACCAAAAAGTATTTTTTTGATGGGATTTTTCAGGCTGAATGCCTTCCAACTGCAATTTGAGATTACCGGTATCAACCGATTAAACTAGAATTGAAAGGTATGCATTATCGTAGATCAAGAGCTCTACGATAATGCATACTTTCGAATGAAAGTATACCGGTTTATACCCCAGTATTCGGCCGAATCGACTGGCTGGGCTTGGCTCCCTATTGCCGCCACTGGGCCCGTCCAAAACATTCGGGAAAAGCTAGCTCACCAGGAACACTCACCATGGTCAAGGAAACCAAGACTCGCAACACCAAGCGCTCGCCGGACGTGGTCGCCCGCGACTACACCATCAACCTGCACAAGCGTCTTCACGGATGGTATCCTTTTTCAACCCCATTATTTGCATATTTTGCACGTTATCTGCATATTTCCGCACTCGGTTCGCCGTAGCTCCCACCTTGGAGACTTCCTTGACTTTTTTCTCTGCTCTGCTATTGTTTATCATGCGGTTCCTCTTGTGACCCAACAGCGTGTTTAAGAAGAAAGCCGCCCGTGCCGTGCGTGCCATCAAGAAGTTCGCTCAGGTGACCATGAAGACCCAGGACGTGCGCATCGACTCCAAGCTCAACAAGTTCATCTGGTCCAAGGGTGTGCGCAACGTGCCCTACCGCGTGCGTGTGCGTCTGTCGCGCAAGCGTAACGACGACGAGGACGCCAAGGAGAAGCTCTACACGCTCGTGCAGCACGTGCAGGTGGCCAGCTTCAAGGGCCTCCAGAACGACACCGTCGACGAGTAAGCTACTGGATTGCGAAGCCTCTTACGCGTTTCCCAGGCGTGTTCTCTAGTCTCGTTCTGCTGAGTGGTGCTCTAAGAGGCCACGAGGTGGAGGAGATGTAGAGGCAAAAGTCTAGCGTGAACTTCCTTCCTTTCCGGGGAGTGGAAGCGACTCGTGTTGAGTTCTTTCCATTAAGAATCCATACAAGACGTTCCCATTTGCGGTTTCCCATTTTCAGTTGCTGTTCTAGTGTTGCTTTGTGTGTCGTGTTGATGGTTTCAAGTGATGAAGTTGATGAAATTGCTGAAGTTGCAAATTCAGTTTTCACTTGGACGTTGGTCCAAACGGACATGTTGTCACCAACTTGTCATTGTGTTATCTATCGAAAGGAGCCAATTGACACTTCGACAATCGCAAAACAATCATTTGTTTATCACGCCTACGCTGCCAACAGCAAAGACCTAAAGTGTTTTTGCATTTTTCTCTCTTTTCTTCTTAACGTATGGTTCGCTACCGAAAGCACCGATCGATTGCTAAAATGGATACAGACATCCACCCCGCCCACAGCGCTCTCGTCCTTTGCCGAGTCTAACCTTCTCTCCAGCTGGCAGAGAGAAACCTACTGCTGCTGGCACTGCACGCGCTGGCCGCCACGCTCCTCGTCCGAGTCGTACGCCTCGCGCTGCTGCTGTTCCGCCTTGGCAGCCTCGGCGTCGAATTCCGACAGGAAGCATTCCTCTGAGTCACTCACAGGCACCACAGGCGTGGGGGCCGGCAGCGTGCTCTTGAGCATACTGAGCTGCTTCTCCGACAGACTGCCGCTCTCCGGGAACTGCACCTTAAACAGGATGACGAGCTGGCCCTTGACGAACGGGTTGCCGTGTGTGGGCATTCCCTCGCCGTGCACCGACTTGAACTGGTTCGGCTTGATGATCTCGCCAGGCCGCGTCTTAATGTGTAGGTGGCGGCCGTCCAGGTGCTCCACGATCATCTCGAAGCCGCAAAGAGCCTCCACCAGACTAATATTCTTCTCCATGATGAGGTTGCCGCCCTTCCGCTGGAAAGTGCCGTGTTCCTTCTCCTGCACCACAAAGATAATGTCACCAGGCACTGTACCAGGCGCCTGGTCGGCCTCGCCCGAGAACGTAATGCGCTGGCCATTGCGCATACCCTTCTCAATGTGCACTTCCAGCACCTTCCGCTCCTTCGTCACCTTCTTGCCCTTGCAGGCCTTGCAACGGTCGCTCTCACGGATGCTCTTGCCCTGGCCACGGCAGTCCGGACACACACTCTGCATCTGCTGCACCATTCCGGGCGCAATGTGGCGTAGCTGCACGCGCATACCGCGGCCCTGGCACGTGTCACATGTCTTCTCGGCTCCTTCAGCGCCACCGCGGCCCTCGCAGCGGCTGCACAACACGTCGCGGTTCACGGCAAGCTTAACGGTCTTGCCGTTGTACAGGTCCTCCAGCGACACCTTGAGCGGATGCGTCAGGTCCTCGCCCTTCTGAGGGCCACGCGGTCGACGGCCTCCCTGGCCACGGAAGAACTGACTGAACAGGTCACTGGCATCGGCACCGCCGCCGCCGTTCTGCAGACCTTCCTCGCCGTACTGGTCGTACAGTTCGCGCTTCTCCGGGTCACTGAGCACCTCGTAGGCCACAGTAATGGTCTTGAAAAGCTCCGGGTCACCGCCCTTGTCCGGGTGGTTCTTAAGCGCCAGTTTACGGTAAGCCTTCTTGATCTCAGCGGCCGTGGCCGTCTTGGAAACGCCCAGGGCCTCGTAGAACTTGTTGTTGTCCACGGGCTTGGACGGGCCGCCCGGGCCGCCCTCGAAGCCGCCACCGAAGAAACTCTCGAATCCGCCACCGAACATGCTGGAGGTCTTAGTCTATATGTGTCTGTGTTAATGTATCAGGCTGGGGGGATTTCTTCTTCCCTTGTTGCCGGTCCGGTCGAGTCTCTGTGGACTGCGCGGGTTTGAGACTGGCTGGCTGAGGAAGAGGGGGAGGAAAAAGGGAGTTGTGTAAACCACTCCAATAGTCGGGGCAAGCGAAAGATCGTGGAATTTTTGGACATCCATACAAATTCCCAGTCAAATCGACTTCTGGAAGGTTCGCTGGCCCGATTCCCGACCGACCATGCACGACCGACCGGGAAACGATGTATACGCCGATGATTTACATACAGCCAGGTGGTTGTGTACGGAGAGAACATGACGACTTTTACATCATTCTAGAAGCCCAAGCCTCCAGGAAATTGGTCATTGCTCAACTTGACGGACGTAGGCCGCAGTGGTCTGAGTCAGAATTTCTGACCACTGGCGGCAACACTGTTGTCACAACAAGGAGCTGCCGAAAGAGATGGGGATCGACAGGTGATAGTGCCGACTAGCTCGAGCCCCAGACGACTGCTCTGCGCTGCCTCAGCGAAGATCTAGTGGAATGCGAGTTGCTGGAGTCGGCGATAGCAAGCCAATATGTCTTCAGCAGGGTCGATGGGCAACGCGACTATCTTTCATGTACCGTTCACCTACAGCTTGTTCCTTGAGGTAAAAACGTCGAGGGTAGAACTCAGGAGGCAGGACCTGAAGGTTGTGTGGATGTTGCTGCTACGTGTATTGCGTAGATCGTAGAGGGAGCAAGCTTTCGGTGAGCGAGAGATTACAGCGGAACTGAAGTTTGTCTTCGTCGCTCATCGGGCGGCGAGGCTATCCAAGTTCCACACCTCGAACGAAATTAAAGCGCACCGTTTGCGGGCCGATCTTATCAAGCTAGAGTGGATTGAGATCGCAGGGTGGTCTAGCGTGGCTGTAGCTTCACTTGGGCAAGCTATAAGCAAAAAGGTCAGTGGATTAGGATTCAGTCGCAACTTGTACGGAGAAATTGATGACGTAGGAACTTCAGTCACAGAGCGACGAATAAAACGAAACCTGACTATAATGATGGGAATAATACCGACGAATGCCTGCTTCTTGTAGTGCTACGATGGTCCTGAACGTATTTTCGCTGATCCGTCGATGCTTAATTACCGTGGGAACCAGCGACCAGTTTCGAGAACAAGAAAAATTCGCGGAGCTAGCCACGTCTCTTTAAGCAGGCGAGTACTGGTCGAAAGAGTCCGATAACTGGTTCTTGCTGCACGCAGGGATCGTGCTGGCCTTGTGGAACTTGTCAGCCAGGTATTTCTCGCTCACAGCCTTCGCTTTATCCCTCTGAGTGTTGACCACCTGGGACTCAATCGCGTGAAGACGATGCAGCTCCTCGACGCAGTCCTGAAAATCTAATGGGTTGTACTTGGTCACGTGGTGCAAAGTAGGCGTCCAAGGTTCTGCTTCCCCAGTCGTCAAACGTGCAAGATACACAGCAGAGGCCACCAGGATCGACGGTTTGAACCGAACCATGTGGTAAAAGAGTAGTGCGAAGTCACAAAGATACTGTAGAAAGCAAACGTAAAAGTTAGAGAGAAAAGAAGACGCTGGCAACACCTACAAGGACCACCAGGGCACTCACCAACACCAGAGAACGTTGCTTGTCTGTCGTACACCCTGCATTCATATAGCGATGCATGAATCCATAACACGTAGTCGACGCGACACGGTACTGCAGCGCGTTGAGAACTTGTACTTCCATGTTCAACATCTGGAGGATTCATCACAAGTCATTAGCAACGTGACTTGGACAAGAAAACAATCTGCTCCGTACCTCATCCGCAGTGTACGTCTGATCGGAAATGTAAACAAACTCCTCAACGTTAGGGCCGTATACTTCCTCAAATTTGGCTGCAATCATCATGCATGCGCAGCCAAGTAGCTGGAACTGCTTGCGGTTGATCTTGATTTTCTTAAGGCAGCGGTCCACCAGGTTAACCTGAACAATAAATGCAAAACAACATCAGAAACTCACAACCAGATTCTAAAGTGAAATAAAAGACAACGCACCGCTTTGTGGAAGGTCTGTGAGTCGAGTTCGTATTCCTCGCCGACCTCGACCAGCCAATCGACCAGAATGGTGCGCATCTTCTCGTTAATATCCAGCTGCACGGTGCCGATGTAGTCTGCGTCCGGCAGATACTTGACTTCATGTTTCCTGTAATAAGTGTCCAACTCGCGTACCAGCTTCGCGTGGTGCGAGCTCGTGGTAGTCGACGGTGCGTCAATGTCACGCACGGATGCAGCGTACGTTTCTTCGTCAAAACACGAGTTCCTGTGGTCGAATGTAAACGTGTACGGACGAGGCGCATACTCGTCACGCGGTGCAGCAGCAGCTGGTGCAGCAGCCTCCCTCTCAGTCTGTTCCGGAACCTCTGGCGTGTCTTCTTTCCTCTCCTCGCTCTTCACCTGAGCAGCTTCCGCTGTCTCTGTCTCCTCCACCACTTCTTGTTTCACTGCTACAGTCTCCACCTGGTTGTCCACCTACAGTCACTCCATCAGAGACCCGTATAACCTCCCCCTTCCTCAATAATAACCTACCTCTGTCTTCACGGCGGCGTTCTCCTTGTCTGCGTCCCCTTTCTCCTGTTTCTCCTTGGGCTTCGAAGGCGCCTGGAATGACAACATACTTGTCTGGATCTTCTGGTGAGGAGCTAGTGGCTGGTTCTCGGCGCCCTCGAGCTTCCGCTTCTTGGTGCGAGTCGTCTCCGTCTTCTTGCCAGCGGGTGCGCGCTTCTTGGCTTTACTGGCGGCCGTGGACGCCATGGAGCTCTTGAGCGCTGAGTTGACGGTCGTTGCTGTCGTCTTGCGGCGCGCAGAGGCGCGCGGTGCCTTGGGTTTGGCCGCATCGTTCCCCACCCCCGTCTCCTTTTTGACAACGCCCGAACTGCGCCGAGAGGACGAGCGAGACTGCGAGAGCTTCTTGGCATTGTTACTGATGTCCTGTAGCGCTCCTCGCTTGCGCTTGCGCGCTGCGTCGGTGGCTCCGCTGCTCCGAGTGCGTTCCATGAGGCTGGTCCTGCTGGATGTGGCGACGGACTCGGGGAGCTGAAAAGCCCGATACAAAACAACAGGCTTTGCGCGCGGAAGGCCTTTTGGGTAGTCGTTACTTAAAGATTACTTTTGCGTTTTGAATTTTGAAACCAAGTGCTACAAAAATGCCAGCCGCTTTGTGAAGTAAACATGAAGTAATTAGACTTCAACAACAACGACGAATGATCCTCAAAATTCCTACAGCAGCCACTGCTAATACGTGGATGGACTGGAGACAAAAGTGACCTGCACGTGCAGTAAAATCTTGACTCCTTTATTGATAGTGCTCATGATGGTGTCTGCGCTTCAAGCATACTGAATCAAGACACTCTACAGGAAACGATCGAGTAAGCAAAAGTTAACGTTGCGAGTGGACCCATGACGTTTGCCTCCAATGCAGTGGTCGCAGTTGAGATATCTCTTAAAGGTGTCATCACTCCGACTCGTCGACCTTATGCCCGATAAACTGAATCGATACACATTAGGTGCATGGATAACTTTTACTCTCCAAAGATACTACCGCTGGTGTAATTTCTATCAGCCTGAGCTCATGCAGGCTGGGACTAAGGAACAGTGAAGTTTCGCGGCCGATTTACCACAAAGTTCGCAATGGGGTACTCAAGCTACTACACGTAGTAGCGAGTGGACCCGGTTCGGGCTAAACACGGGTACGAGCTGCTTTTTAAACATTTCTAGTGAAGAATAACGTTCGCAGTGATACTCTTATCCAGCAAAACCAAGTCCACATTACTAATTCCATCCAGGTGATGGCTTTATCCAGTATATTTAATGGTGTATAACGTAGCCACGATATATTCTTCATTAAACATGGAATTGCATCTTAGCACGATCTTGTTTGCGTTCAAGTTCGAATGGAGTGAATCCTCTTTGCTCATGTCCACGGGATACCGGGATTGGGAACGGATTGGACTGAGCAAAGTGAGTATCTGACAGCGCGATGCAGCATTCGAGCGGATGAACTGGGTAAACCGAGAATAAATATCGTCTTGGTTTATCGTTTGCGGGTGCTGATGAACTATGAATCATGGTTGATCTATAATCCACTTGAAGGGGAGTCACTCGTAAAGGTGGTTCCAAGTCCCTAATTGAATGGAGTCGATTAACAAAGGAAATTGTAGCAGGAGCGCTTATGAACTGTTCGGTCGACAAAACAATTCGTAATGAAAATTGAACAGTGGTGGTGTGTCAGCTCTCCTCGATCTCCCTTAAAAACTGAGGGGATCGGCATAAGGAAACAGTAGTTGGTGCACTCAATTGTCGAGCTCGGATTTCATCAGATCGAGACACTACGTTCCTTGTTTAGCTGCGGAAATGATTGCACAGCCGAATGCAATGCCAAAATCCGTGCTGAGAGGCAAATGTGCCAATGCTTGTGGCTAGCAACGAAGCGCGAGAGTCGGGATCGCAGGCCATTCTCCACAACAGCTCTACGGGAAGCACTCCGTTCTCTTTTTGTTTCATATTCTCCACTTCGTAGTGTCTGATTTATTTTTTTTACATACAACTCTTGTTCTTCTTGGAGCGTATGTATTGCGAAAGATTGGTATTTTGGAGTAATTGCATTGAATGTCGGAGGTATCCAGCATTCATCCGCTCGCACGGTGGCATTCGCAGTGAATCTGTACGTCAAGGTAGTGAGCGAAGGCTGTTCACGACTGTAATGTACCTCACACACACGGAGGCTGATGCGCTCTCCTGCTAGAAGTAATAGCGTTTGACGTTTTACATGTATACTGAAAGCTTGGATTGTTCCTGGTTAGCTTCCTAACATAAAAACCGATAATCCAAAAAATGAAATGTCTCGGTAATAGTAAAACAGTAACTCGGGGATAGAACGCCTGAATCAGATGACCGGTTTCCATTGCTGGAAAACGAGATCACTCAGTCGTCTAGTAGCAGTCCAGATACATTAATAACGCGCACATCAAACCAGTTGTCTGTCAGATAATGGTAGTAACTTACAATGCAGTCGCTGTATCGTTGGACACGAAGATGTTGTTTCTTTCTGCAGCCTCCGAGGCGAAGCGAGCGTCCTTCATAATATCGTTGGCGTGTTGGTAGCTCTGAGGCCCCTGGAACTCCATCATCACGGATCCGGCCGTGCTTTTCGCTGCCTCAGTTGCTTTCTGCTCGCATATAAACCAGATTTGTAACATTAGCTGTTGAAAGACCAAGGAATTCAAGCGCCTTACATACCCCAGCCAAAGATGCGTTCCCCGGGAAGAGTGCTGCTGCCTGATCGCCAGTAAGCTGCATTTGCCTGGTACGAATGAGCAGCGTAGGGTCATCACTATCGCCGTTCTTCTTTGTTGCGATCGCTGTCACGAAATCCATCATGAGAGCTTCGTTCGGCTGCAGAACAAATAGCAGCGTATTTAGTCTCGCGAATCGTGACCTATACAGACAACAAGAGCGCCACTGACCGCTGCAAAACACACAAACAATGTTGGCTCGCCGTCCTTCCTAGCACAGAGTCCGTTGGTAATCGGTACCACTAGCTGCGGTAGATCCACCGAAAGCCCCAACTCCTCCGCCGTCCACGATGGCATTTTCCAGAGAGATCGAGCTCCGTTATTCTCCTTATCTTGCATCATCTCGGCCAGTGGAGATTCGTGGGGACGCATCGGCAATGGCTTCCATCCGCCATGATCCGGAGTGAAGTCGAAAAGCTACGACATATGACAAGGTCAGCACCACCGCAACTTCTACGACAGATCCACCCACCTCGCTCCATTTGTTATTCCAAGGTGAGAATTTGGCCTGACGGAACTGTTGTTGCAGAGAAAAATAGGTGAGTGGGAAGCACGCGAAGCGCAGACCACTGGACATCTCAATAATCGGCTCTAAACACGAACAAGTCAGTGGTTTTAAGAGTTCCCGATCCATTGTAGCTACCCACCGGTAGCGCTGTAGAGGTACACGGACACGTCCTCGCAGTCACGAGCGCGGAACTGCTGCACGGCGCACACGACGGTGCAGCGTTTGCAGTTGCGCAGGAAGACGCTGCTCTCACAGGGGCCCACGACGATGCGGCAGTTGATACAAGCGTCGATCTGCACGGACGTGCAGTGATCCAGCAGGAAGATATCGCAGTTGTGGCAGTCCTCGATGAGGAACTGCTGGCCGTTGATACTGCCTGGGAGTTTGGCCAGAAACGATGCTGTTTGGATGTTGGAAAAGATAAAATCTTCCCGCTTGAGCGTTGGGTCCTTGCCAAACGTAGGCAGGGACTTGGAGCTGCCAGTCTGTGCGCGAGATTTAGTCTTGGACTTGGCATCAGGACCCAGAGCTGGTTGGCCCGCGTGGCAAATGTTGCCCATGACGAGAGTCCGGTGCAGTAGCCTTGACAACTTCAACTGCTTCAAGTTGCACTGGAGTTTCACGTGATGGCTGTGCAAAGACGGCCGGAAATAGGACGCAAAATGGGCCCAACGGCGCGAACACCGTTTTTTTTTTTTTCAGCGAATGTGTTCGGGGTTTTAGTTTCCCACAGAAAGTGAATGTTGGTGTATTATTTTTTATTATGGATACATGCACATGTATTGAGGTTCCAATTTTCATGCTTGCTCGATATGTTCTGTGTACTTTTCGGTCTTATGAGCTGCAATGTCGCGTCGATATTGTCCATAGTCATTTGATACTTTCTTTCCCTTGGGACATACTGGAGGCACCTGCGCTGCCAGGTGCGTCTGGCAGACGGCGTCTACAGGGATAACGCACGCAACAAAGACTCGAGGCGATGTTCAAGAAGTGCCTCAAATCTGGAGAGGATTTTGTCAATTGTGTATTCGTGTACAAATCCAACCACGATGGAATTTCTCGCACGTGGGTTGAGACGCAGGAAAGTTATTGATTCTTGTTCCCGTTTGGATAAGCTTCATTCCATCATCGCCCCACGTAGTTTCTAAAATGCCGTGATGTTGCACTGTTCGGTGGCTTTTGGGGCGAAAAAAAGCAAGAAAGCCAGGTCAAACCCTTCCCCAATTAATACCCTGATGTAACAGATGGTTTACAACATCCATTTTCACCTTATCAACCTCTAATAAAGTATCTACCTTCGATACTACATCACTACTTGCGTATTGGTGGTACCGCCCGCCACATGAAAATCGTGCTCATTTTTCTCCCATCCATCCCGCGCCATTGCCATTGCTCGTTCGTCGTGTAGATCCTCAGGCCATGCTGGAGAAGGGCGCTGCTACGCCGCCGGGCTCTGGCCCGTCATCGCCCACGGCCAGTGAGGCCTCGTTCCAAGCGGATCGCAAGAAGGCGGCAGAACAAGTGCGGGCCAACATCGAGAAGTTCGTAGACGGGCTCATGAGCGAGAAGTACACCCTGGCACAGCTCCTGAATGAGAGTTTTTCGCTCGAGATGCTGGAGCTGCTCTTCAAGCGTATGACTGGCCGGCTACGCGGTATATTGTTTTCACGGGAGAAGACGCTCGAGTTCATCCGCTTGGCGCTGGACGCGAGTTATCCACGACACACTCGGGCCATGGCCGCACAGTTCATCGTTGTGGGCGGCGCTGTAAACGCCATTGCGGCCTGTGAGCCAGGCCAGCCGCATCAGTGCTCGGAGTTCTGGGACTCGATCTTCGACACGCTACAGCGCGAGGCCGACGGCGTGTCGTCCAAGTGTGACACTCCACTACGCCGCAAGGAGCGGCAAGCCTCTGTGGCCGAACTAGAGGAGCTCATCCAAGTGGCCGTGCAGGTATTCGAGAAGGACGGCGCGCAGACTTTGCAGCAGAGTTTCGCTGATCACCAGGAGGAGAACGGGGGACACGAGGACGCGCTGGCCAGACAACGCAAGTCTTCGGCCAGGTCGTCGCTTGGAGCTGACGCTGATGCAGCTCCGATCAAGGCCATTGTGTCGCCGCTGCCGTCACCCAGAACTCCGGCCAATGGCGAGTGCAACTTAATGGAGGAGACAGCTGAACAAGGGGGTGCGACGCACAGGGATAGCGCGGAGATCTCGGGTGTGACGGAGAGAGATGAGGACTCCGACTCGGACGAACCAGATGACACAGGCATCCCGGCCCCGTTGACAACCGAGGTAAACGAGACGGCCATGTACGGAATCTTCAGCCACGATTCGGCCAACTTCGCGTCGCAAGTGTTACGGTACTTTGCCATTCGAGGCCAGAAAGGCGCATGTATCTTGCATTTTTTGGCGGAGCACCCGGCCACAGTGGACATGTTGCTGGCCAACATTGGCCACGATGATATTCGCACTTTACTGCTGCACCTCATCTACGCCGAGCACTCGGAGGCGGCCATCACGTCGCTGTTCGAAACGCACATGATGCAGAAGTTGATTCAGAAACAGGTGACTTTTTCCCCGCCTCGCAACGCCTTCGAGCGTGACTGCATTGAAAACACCTTCATGTTGCTGCGTGAGATCGTGCATGCGCCGTATTTGACAGGACGCGGCGTGGCTATCTCGGCCAAGACCATCCCGCTGGACAAGGTTACAGGCCAGGACGAGTACGTGTCGATCTGTGGAGCCTCACGGGAGACGGCCAACTCGGCACTGCGCAAATACACGTCTCGCAAGGTTCGTCGCCTCATCCATCTGTTCATGCAGGAGCACCAGGCCGCGTTAGAACTGCTCTTCGTGCAGATGATCAAGGAGCTGACTTTCTGGAGTACACCGTTGACGCGTGAACGACGAGGTAGTGTGGCTTCACTCGAGTCGTTGATGCTGTTGTCGCAGGGCCATCCACGGCCGACGTGCATCACCATGCTCATGCATCTGTTTGAGTTGACGGAGACGGTGGAATTCACCGACACTCGGAGCGCTGGTGGCAATTCCGCTGCGTCTGTGGGCATTGACTGTCTCAACTTTTTGTGCTCCACTCACCTCATGCGAAAGGGAAACCTGTTGGTCAAAAAGAAGCTGAAAAACGAGTTGCAGTTGTGTCAGGTGAGTTTGAACTGCATGATGGGCCTCCGAATGACAGCAGTGCGTGAAGATCAGCCGCCCAAGTCGGCCACTCTGGACCAAGCGTTCACGCCGAATCTAGGCAACCAAAGTGTCATCACACTCGACGAGATGGAGACTGTGCAAAGCTCAGACTGGCATGAGTTCGGCTTCAGTGTGACTGTGAAGAAGAAACTCCCCGATGCCAGCAAGACCTCTCCAGCCACACAACACGGAGCGGTGACGCCCGCGAATGCCATGGTGCACCACCAACGAAGAAACGGGAAGGAGGACGAGTCCTCAACGATGGAAGTCAAGTCTATTGAGTACTTTGCAGCTTCGTCAGAAGAAGAGAAGCAGGCGTGGATTACACTACTACAGGCCGTGATTGATGGTGACCTGAATGAACTGGAGATCTTCTGCAGCGATGACTGGCGTAGCAACGTGCGAGAGTATCGACGACTGCGTGAGTGTCTGATCACGTGTATGGAGCGCAAGGGCCACGAACTTATGGTGTTCCTGAAGCAAGTAATCACTTTCAACACTCGCAGAGCATCAGGTTATCATCTCTGGTCAGTGGTTAAGTGTCTGAACTCCGTGTTATCTAACGAGTCGAAGCGATTGGACCGAATGTTCGTCGGTGCCCACGTGATCACCACACTCATCACTTGTTACGAGAAATACCCCATGTGGAACTTGCTGCTGGGTGAAATCACGAAGATGTTGGTGTTCTGTATTGGCGATTTCAAGAGTAAACGCTCGCGTAAATGCCCCATTATCGGCCGCATCTTACAAACTGAAGGTGAAGACGCCAAGTTGGCACCTCTACTCTGCAAGGTGTATCTGAACCGTGACGCGATCGACAGCAACGGCGAACAGGAGTACGACAACTTGGTTGGCACCGATGCCTTTTCCAATCTGAAGCTCATTATGGAAGCCTTGAAAATGTGCTACAAGGACCCGAAGACGAGGAGTCAGGAGCGTATTCAGTGTGATATGAAGACCAATCCCGTGTGGCGGAAACTGGTCAATGCATCGGAAGAACTGGCCAAGAAGGACCCTTTCAGCTGCATTTTGACGGTTGGAACTCCTCCTGCGCTCTCTCCTGCGGATGTTTCGAACTCGTCGTCCCCGCCGTTTGGAGCGAATGCACCCACTCCTCCCACGTTCCAGGAAGATATCATTAACCAGATCAGTCGACCAAGTTATTCCACTGCACATGGCTTCGGATCTTCGTTCTTGGAAGGAGATGGATGTGCGTTCGGATACCTGTTCAAAGAGCGACACGGCGGTCGTGAGTGGAAGAAAGCGCTTGTAGTGTACGAGTACGTCTCACATAAACTGTGGTATTTCTATCCGAGTGAAGTGGATGAAACACACGCGATTCAGTGGAAGTGGATCGTCCCTCTGTCAGTACGAAGTCGCTACACTCACGGCCAGGACGAGACCCACACGTCTGTGGGTCACCACGGTCTGTACATCACAGCGTACGACCACCAACAAAGCGACGAGGACAGTAAAGTGTCAGCCAAGGAGATGCATTTCAGCGTCACTAAGCTGGAAGACAGAGACCTGTGGAAGGACTTGCTGTCCAATGCAGCCGACACAATCCAGAAAATGGCTCGGGATTATTCCGTGTTATCGCAGAAGCTCAAGAAACCGGACAAGAAGACGGTCACACACTGTCAAGACCCCACATGCAACACGCCGTTCAAGCTCTTCCGTCGTCCACACTCGTGCAAACGGTGCGGCAAGTGGATGTGTGCCAAATGCACGTCTCAACGCATGTCGATCCCAGAGGTTGGGCTGCTACATCCAGTGCGTCACTGTCGTGCGTGTTTTGAAGAGAACGGAGGCGCTCATGCCGAGACGGAGCCGTTCAACTTGTTCCACCTCAAAGATGCCAAGAGGAACTGCAGTTCAAACGGAGTCGGCGCAAATGTCGCCGCTTCGTTAGGTTCCCAGAACGGCACGCTTTCTAATGCAGAGCTGTATGAACTGGCACATGGCATGGTTTCTCCTCGTACACTCATGCAGATGAACCGGCGATTGACAAGAGTCAGCTCGATCGATTCGCCCACAGGAGGCGAGAACGGTGGCTTCCACGCGGACGAGATCAACGCGCCAGGGAGTCTTGGCGCTGAGAATCTGTCCTCGTTCGCGGACGATGAGGACGACTTCTCCCCGTTCTCTTCGTCTGTGTCACGTCGCAGTTTACTGAATCCTCGGGAAGATATCCGCGGCTGATAGAAGACTGGATCGAAGCCAAATGATAGATGTTGCTAGCGATAGCAGTTTGTAGGTAGGCCAAATAAGGTAGTTTTAGTAGGACATTTGGGCCCTTGCGACTGCGGAGTCCAGTCAGTGGCAGGTAGCGAGTGAGAGAAACAATTCTGAACAATACATGTGTGCAGTGAATTAATGCAACAGCAACATGGCTACATTGTATTTTCGGTAGTCGCGTCGTTGTCAGCTGGCAACTTTCATGTTGCAACTTTGAGGTGTATTTGAGGTTCCGCACACAATTCAAACAGACGTAGCATGTCGTCGACGAAGCGCGCACTCGAGGTGGACAGCGCCCATGAGCGTGCCAAGCGCTCGCGCCGCACGCGTTGGGGCCACGATGAGGATGAGGACAAAGACGCAGCCAATCGCAAGACGTCAGCGAGTCCGAAGGCGCTGAGCGACATCGTTAAGCGCCTGTCGAGTGTCGTCCAAGAAAAGTCAACACCCGAGGAGCTCCAAGCGCTGGCGGCGGCGGCCTCGCGTCCGTTGGTTGTACGTCGCTCTCTACTGTATTAGGCGTTATAATCTGTCCGGTGTTTGATGCGTGTGGCTTCAGTTTCATCCTCGTTTTGCGCTGTTGCTTTAGGGCGCGGGTGGTCAATTGGACGCGCAGGCAGCGAGAGCGCGGGCGTTGGCACAAGCTAGTCTACTGTCACTAAACGTTCCTGGTGCCAAGGTGTCGCCTAATGACCTGGCAAGACGACTATATATCGGCAACTTGTACTACGACCTCAAGGAGGAGGACATCAGTAATGTCTTCGCTCCGTTTGGGACTATCCGCTCCATTGATCTGTCGCTGGAACCAGGGTGAGAGGCAGAAGCCTGTCAGTTCTGGTGACGAAGTTATTACTGACGACAGCTTAACTGTGCGCAGAGCCTCGCGGTCGAAGGGTTTCTGCTTCTTGGAGTACGACGACGTGCTGGCAGCGGAGAGCGCAGTGCAAGTGCTGAATGGAACGCCATTGGCCAATCGAGCCATCCGGGTGCGTCCGGTAACAGGTTTAAGGTTGTTTATGAAACCATTTGCTGATTGTACTAACTGCAGGTTGGTCGGCCGCATCGCGGAAACACAAACCCGAACGATTCGCTGTCGATTGGACAAGAGGCGATCAAAAAGTGAGTTACGACAGTATATCTGTTTGGTGGGAGGTTTTTAGCTGACGAGGCTCTTGATTTGTGTACAGCGTTCCGACCAAGTGCATCTACATCGCGAACGTACGCGTGGAGCTCAACAGTCAGCATTTAGAGAGTATTTTTTCTCCATTTGGAGCTATCCACTCGTGTGTCATGGCGGCGGTCTCTCCACTGGAATCTGGGGTGGTATGCATTGCAACATATTAAATGAAAAATGCTGACATTGCTGACGAGTGTTCTTTAATTGTAGCACCGTGGTTATGGCTTCATGGAATTTGTGGAGGAGAGTTGCGCACTGAGCGCGATCCAGCACATGAACGGGTTCGAGTTGGCTGGACAACCGCTCAAGGTTGGCAAAGCCAGTGAAGCAGCAATGCTCATCAACCTCGCCACCAGTCAGGACAAAGTAGTGCGCGATGGATCAGGAGCAACAGCTGACGGGGCCAACGGAGTGTCTGAGCCCGAGAAGAAGCCGTTTGGTGAGGACGACGTTGAAAAGGTGAGGGACACGACCGAGACCGACGAGAAGTGCTGCCTCTGCTTGATGAACCTCGTGAACCGCGGCGAAGTGGACGACGAGTTGGAGGACGAGGTGCGTGGCGAGTGTGGCAAGTTCGGTATCGTCAAGAAGGTGGAAATCCATGAGTTAGCAGACCACGTGCGTGTGTTTGTGTTGTTTGACGATGCAGCTGGAGCCGCCAAGGCCAAACAGGCACTACACGGCCGGTTCTTCGGCGGTAACCAAGTGCAGGCACAGTATTATCCTCTACGCGAATGGGAGCACAAGCGATACACGAGCGAGTTCCTGTAACAAGGCGGTGGGTGGATACACAACAACGTCACTTGGTTTATACGCATACACGGTCACTTGTGGTGGTTGAGAGAGTGATGAGTGGAGTTCACTGTGCTTGTGTGTCGTCCACCTGTTGCTGTAGTTATCTCTTCGTCCCTCTCCGGCCCAGATTTGTAAGCCTCGCTGTACTCAGGGCAACTGGTCCGTCTTGGCTAACTCGAGAATGAATTTGCCTTCCTTGTACTTTTCCGACGCGTTATGCGCTTCTTTCTGTATAGGTACGGGCAACAAGAGAGCGACTCCAGTTAATACAGCTTCAAGGCGTATGGAGTGACAGCGTAGCGTACGTATTTCCAGCCCACGGGACTCCAGCACGTGTTGCAGTAAAGGTCCAGTACGACGTGCAGTCCAGTCATGAGCATCCGCTCCTCCGGCGGACCGGTGCAGACGTTGACTCTAAATTATTATAAAGTTATAGATAATAGTAAAATAAATTTTGTGTTGATGTTGTAAAGAGGATGCGTACGCCGTGTCAAAGAGGTAGGCTTTGCCGCTGGTGCCTTGGAAATTCTGATAACGACAAGTAGTTGAAGATAAAGACGGCGAATCGAGATGGAAAGAGTGAGTGTCACCTTGGAGATGATGTCTTCGTTGCGCGCAAGGTGCGCGTTGCATTTGGCGCAGCGGAACACGCGCGAGCTGTCTACATACTCCTCGAAGACGCGCCCCATTTTCGGTTGCTTCTTTTGAGTTGAAGAGAACGTGGTGTCGTGTACGTAAGTGGTGTTCACAACACCATGTAACTTCAACTTGCTGAAACGTTTTGAAACTATATTGACAAGTTGCTGAAACGTTGAAACTGTGCTGACATTAGGCATTGCCTTTTGAGATGTAGAAGCTTTCTCACATGCTAAATGGTTTGCTGAGTTTCTCCGTACTCGAGAGTTACTGCCTCTCTTTGGAGTTACAGCCCACATGACGGTGACTAAAACTCAGCTGGCAGAGGCTTTTACGCGGGGGATCACGTGCGACTGTCAAAACCTCCCAAGCAGCTTCAACTTTGACCCACATCATCCTCTTACGAACAGATCTCGAGCTATCCTCACCGATCCAGCTGCACCACCAGACTCGGTGATCCATAGCTTCGTGTCGCCCTCACCTTAGCCGCTCATAGTTCAAACCGAATGTCAACTTGGCCATCGATCCCATTTCGAGGATTCTCGTCGGAAATATCCCCACCGTTCAATTCCTCACTTCGCAATTCGCCATCTCCAGTACAACCCAAGTTTCACCACTTCCCCTAGCAATGTTTCGCCTCTCAAAGTTCTTCTCGCTCGCAGTTCTTGCAGTCTCCGCGATGACATTGTCCGCACACTCCGTCCAGCAGCCACACACGCAGCCTGTAATGGAGCTTGAACAACGTCGACTCTTCCAGTCTGACAGTCACCGCTTATTACAAACCTGCAAGAACTCTGCTCAAGCTCGAAGGCTCCAGGGGCACAACGCTGCTCGATGTGCCGCCACTCTCGAGAGTATGCAAACCCATCGCCGACTCGGTGGTGGAGGAGGTGTCCAGCTCGACACTCCAGCCCCGACGACTGAGCACCAATCGAGTTTGCTGATCAACAATGTCACTGACGTGAATGCGATCGATTTGTTCGGGAGCGACGTCAAGTGCGTTCTTGAACCCGAGGTGACCGAGGGTCCCTACTACGTCAGCGGGGAGTTTATCCGCCAAGATGTGACTGAAGGTCAACAAGGAATTACTCTCTACGCAGAGCTACAGTTCGTGGATGTGAACACATGCGAGCCGGTGGACGATCTCTACGTGGACTTCTGGCACTGCAACGCCACCGGCGTGTATTCTGGAGTGGTGGCCAACGGCAATGGGCACATATCCGACACTTCCAATATCAATAACACGGCGTTCCGAGGCCTCGCGTCCACGGATGAAGACGGTATCGTATCGTTCACCTCTGTGTTCCCAGGCCACTACACAGGACGCGCCACTCACATCCACATCTTGGGATCATACAACGGCACCGTGCTCAAAAACAACACGTACTCGGGTGGAGTAGGTGCTCACGTGGGCCAGCTCTTCTTCGACCAGGATCTCATTTCGAAGGTGGAAGCAACGGGCGTGTACGCTACCAACACGCAGGAGCTCACGCTCAATGCCAATGACAATATCTACAGCGAGTCGTCGACTACGGGGTTTGACCCCATCATGGAGTACACGCTGCTTGGTGACTCAGTGCAGGACGGCATCTTCGCATGGATCTCGGTGGGCGTCGACATGACAACCGCCAAGAGCGTGAATGCAGCGTCGACTATCACTGCCAATGGAGGTGTCGCTAACGCGAACACCATGGGGCCACCGGGTAGAATGGGCAGTGGATCGTGGGGCCCTCCTCCCGACTCGGACATCACGCAGTCGTAAAAAGCGAGCCTGTGCCTTGAGTTTTTTTAATGCTTGGTAACATTTTTTTTTTTAATGCTTGGTAACATTTTTTTTTACGTTTTTTTTTCGTTTGAATACTGATTTGTAATTGGCTAACCTGTTGAAGTGGTTGAAATTGTCATAGTTTTGTCTTTGTTACTTTCCATACGAACAGACTTTTGTCATTGGCACCAATAGAGACCAACCTCGTGTCGTCGCAAGTGAAGGCTACGTTGGCCACGTTCAGACTGTGGCCATGTAGTTTGTGCTGCTCCGTGTGTCTGGACAGACACGGCGTGTTGTACACGCGGATCTCGCCCTGGTTGGTAGCTGCAACCAGCATCTCCTGCGTGTTCGCCTTTGCCAGAGCGTGGACGTGGTCGTCTGGCTTGCCAGCGATGTCCCAGACACCCTGGGCATCCCACGCAAACAAACACTTGTGTGACGCCCATGTGACGTCCGCCGCACTAGCAGGCGAAGTGATCTGGCTGCCGTCCATCGTGCTTACGAACAGAAGCTCGAACGCATCGCTCGACACTCTTGCCATGCTGCTATCGGCTGCAAAATCCAAGCGAGTGGCACGACCGCTGGGCTTGGAGAACTTGAAACGCAGCGAGAAATTGTCTAGCGTCGAGTAGAAGTACACGCAGTGATCGGCTGAAGCTAACGCCAGCAGCGTCAAGTCCGGCGAGAACGTCATGTCCAGTGCACCAAGCTTACTATCTCGTCCTTCGTGTAGCAGTTCAAGGGTCTGACCATCAAGCACGGCGAAGGCTCCATCTTTGTGATTCTTGCTACTCTCCGATCCACCAAAACCTACTGCGAGCCACTTGCCGTCCGGAGAGAACGCCACGCTCTGTAGAGCCCCATCCAGCGCAGTCTTTGCGATCACGCAGCGCTTTTCTAAATGCCACAGACGCACTGTGTGATCGCCTCCAGCTGTGACTATTAATTCTGGTCGTAGTGGATGTACTGCGAGTCCCTGAAGCTGAACCGTGCGGTCGAAATGGCTCTCCGACACGAGAATCGCGTCTCCCGTGAGTCGAGATAACTCGAACAACTCGGCACCTTTCGTCCCGATAAGCAAGCGATCTTCCGCTACATCCCAATAAAGAGAGCGCACCGCTGCGCTATGTGGCGCTGGGTGGAAACCTGCAAC